CTTAGTTTCTGAACTTTGGACATAACATGGCATTCTGCTTCACTGAAGAATGATTAATCATTTACTTTGTGGATGTAAATCTACATTTCAAGTTAAGGTGTACTTTTCAAACAATCAAATGTCATGTTTTCCAATGTAATTTGTCCTGATGGCTAGTGCCCTCTAGATATAGAGCAAGTCCACAGTACACAAATCAGTTCAGAATCTGTAATCATTGAATCATTGATCATCCTAATCAAGTTGATTCATAGAAGCTTTTGTTTCAGAAACACTCAGGAGAAAACATGACTAGCAAAAAAAAGTCTAAACAAAATGTGTCAAAATACAGCAAAAAAAAGTATGGGAAAACAACTTTAATACATTAGCTAACATTAACTAATACAACTCATTTTACAGTGTAACCAATGTGTGAATGAAGCAGACTCATTTTTCCCTGTTTATCTTTCCAGATAAAAGTCAACAGATGTCCTCACCACTACAGAATTCCAGACTGCCTTCTATGTCAATAATAACACCCCAGCCTTGGGGCAACCAAAAGCCCATGTCCCCAACAGTTTCCTTGATAACCCCCATCAAACCCTTGAGTGCACCGGTTGACATGTCATCACCCACCTCTCAAAAAGGTCTGACTGAGACACTGCTCAAGGACTTTGAGGACAGGAAAATAAAACTGAAGCTGGAAGAAAGTGCAGTGAGTAGTCTCATTTAGCTGAATTTCACAAATGATTAAAAAAAAAGTGTGATTATAAAAAATAGAATTCATTTTTTTTTTTTACCAAGAGACTGTTTTCAGACACTATTGACACAATACTGTGTTTTAACCACTTATAAAAGTGACTTTTGCATAATACGTCCCCTTTAAAACTAAGCTAATTTTTCTTTCCTCATTTCTTTGTCTCTTTATAGTATGCTGGAATCCAACCTATCGATGCCATAAACAATGAGGTAAGATGAGGTTTTCAATGTCTTGTGAGTTCTGTTGATCCGGTTTGATCATGTTGTGTAACTGTGGTTTCTCTGCAGGTCGTAGAGGCCACCCGTGTAACAAGGCATAAAAACCAACGAGCCTTGCAGTGGGAGGCAGGCATGTACGCCAACCAGGAGAGCGAATGAATCGACAGCAACTTAACAGATGCACCAACATAACAGCTGCAATCCCTCGGTGGACTGGATTTAACTCCATACTGCACTTACAAGCAAACTACACTTGCACCACCTCACTATATAAAGTCAATGCCTTTAAAACATGGACATTTCATTCAGTTTAGCTATAGCTGTTCAGAATTGACTGGCATTATGGAATTAGGTGTAGGAGTGGAGAGCATCTTGCCTGCTTGAGGTGAAGTGTATACATTATACAGATTAGTAACATCCCCAACTGTCAAATAGTTTTTAGGTGAGGCTTGCTTTTTGAATGAGGAATAAAATTAAAGAAGTAAATTAAAACCACGGCCAAGTTTTTACACAAACAGAAGGGCCCATGAAATCTGAACATGGACACAAACTCATTTAGACACAAGCTTGTAGATTTAATGAAGTAATTTCTATTTTGAAATAATGCTGAATTTTGTTTTTTACTGAAAAACCTTTTTTCTAAATTGTTTTATTTTTTATCATTTGTATTGAATATTGAAGATGCTAATTATGGCTTTGGAGATTTTTGCAGTATTGTAAGCTAAATGTCTTATAACGATTGTCTTTTTAAAGTGCTACATTAAGGTTGTATTTTGTTTCAATAGTAGTCTATGTTTAATATCAAGAGATGATACTGTTGTCTACTGTTTTTAATAATAATAATAATAATAGGCTGATCATGAAAGAGGTTTTCTTTCTACTTATATTTTAAGAAAACAAAAATAAATAATTGTTAAAGAATTTGGGTATTATTTGAGGTATTTGCTTGTGCGCTGTATTTCAAATTATTTCAATTTATGTTTATTTCTATAGCGCTTTTACAATGTAGATTGTGTCAAAGCAGCTTAACATAGAAGTTCTAGTAAACTGAATTTGTGTCAGTCCAGTTTTTAGAGTTCAGTTCAGTGCAATTTTAATTTCACTGCTGAAAGTCCAAACACTGAAGAGCAAATCCATCGATGCGCAGCTCCACAGGTCCAAATCCAAGCAAGCCAGTGGCAAGAAACAAAACTTCACCAATTGATGAATTTAAAGAAAATATAAACCTCAAGTGAAACCAGGCTCAGTTGGGCACAATCATTTCTCCTCTGACCAAACTTCCTGTGCAGAGCTACAGTCTAGGCACCGGAGGGTGGAGAACACTAGACGTCCATCATGGAGAAACCGCAGGTGTTCAGGCTGGCCCACAGGATCAATACAAAGACTTATCTGTCACTGTGGTCTTTCAGGATCAGTCTCATGCTTTCAGGAATCAGTCTTGTGTTCAGTCTCAGTCTCAAGTATTTAAACTGCACCACTGTAGCCTATTTGTTGTGATAGTGATTCTGACTTTGTTTCATGTTTTAAAAGCTGAACCTTGTTAATATGTTGGGACAAATATGCTATTAATTTAAATAAGCAAGTAATTTAAAATTAGTAATTCTCGAAAAAAAAAAAAAAAAAAAAAAACTTTAAATCAGCTTAGAGTATGTGCAATAAATCTGAGTGTCTTGTTTGCTAATATTGACAAGCATCCCGCTCTCAGCATAGCCTACCTGCTGTCTTTCCTTACATGCATGGTTTCAGGTCCTAATCCCTCTCTGAATATAACTCTGCAATTTCCGAAAGATTATTTTATCAAGCTAAATAATTACTGTTCAAAAACTATTTTTTTGATTATGCTTTGAATGCGGTACATGCATGACAATTGGACTACTGCGCCCCCTAGTGAATAAACATCATTAACATACCAATATAAATGCATGCATTTCAACTAGCCTAAATGTTTGGTCATTATTGAATAAAGCCATAAATGGTAAATAAATAAATAAATAAATAAATAAATAAATAAATAAATAAATAAATAAATAAATAAAAATTCTAAGATTGAACCCTTATGTGTTGGTGACACTTTATGTTCTCCGGTAAAATAAGTGCAATCTCAGGGATTTTACAAGCAGCAACAAGTTTCCTTTAAAAATCACTTTCATTTCAGTCACACAGCTTCCAACCTGCATTATCTTTTGCACTTTCAAATTAGTTAAAATCCATTCCTAGTGGATACACTCCTGTGAGTATGTATGCCAATTTCTTTCCCTGCATGAATCAACACTGAGATCTATATGAACGCATGAAACGTTTTATTGTGTGTGTGTGTGTGTGTGTGTACAAATTATCATGTTGCTCTGAAAACTGATATACAGGATAATCTCTAGACCATATGTAAAATACTTTGGCTTTTAGTGGTCAACCTGACTCTCTTAAAACAGTCATATGCTACTGAAGGTAAAATTATTCCTTTTTGTTACATTTTTTTTTTGTAACAAAGAGTGCTGTCAGAAAGGTGTATCTTTTTAACAGATTTTTTTTTTTAAAGAATAGTTTTAATAATTCATTTCAAATAAATATATTTTTTTGTCTTTATCATGATGACATTTTTAAATATTTTACTGGTTATTTCAGAAGCTACCATTCAGTCTAACATGCAATGAGCTATATATGCAGAGCTAGAGTTTTTGAGCCAATAATGAGCTTCCGGTAAAAGCTTTATGTGACTATTTTCAATTTCATAACATTCCTTTTACAGCATTGATGTTGGAATTTAATTCAAATATAATCAGATAAATAGACTTAAGCATCCATTTGGTAGTTAAACCATAAAAAGAGTTGAAAGAGTGTTTAAACACACACACCATCATTAGCAGCAGGGAAGTGCAGAAACTCATTTGAAAATACTGGGGTAAAATTAATTAGCATATTTTAAAGACATGGCGCGGAAAAATACAACTTAATGCAGTGCTTCTTGTTTGGTCTGATACCCACTTTACATCGTATCTCAGCCAGGCAGTGAAGATCGCTGTTTTTTAAAGAAATCAGGTCTTAACAAGGCGATTTTGTATGGGATGACAATTAACCGGAAGCCCTGGTGCTGGCTGACTAAAATTAAAAGTCTGTGTGCATAAATCCCATTTAAAGGATAGTCATCGTACCATAGTGGTATTATCTGTAGCTAACTAAAAAATTTAAATAAGTGGGCTAATAATATTGACCTTATATATAAAAGGCATCAATTAAATGTAAATAATTTATGTAAAAATTTACAGATTTTATTCCATCCAAGCTAAAAGACTTTTGCTTTAGAAAAAAATATTGTGTAAATATTGTGTAAATATATTTTATTATATGAAATATTGTGAAAATGTCCTTGCTCTATTAAGAAATATCTGAAAAAAGTTCAAATTTCTTTTTCAAATATTTTCCAAATGTTGTTTAACAGAGCAAGGCAATTTTCACAGTATGTCTGATAGTATTTTTTCTTTTAGAGATTGTCTTATTTGTTTTATTTAGGCTAAAATAACAGCAGTTTTTAATAAAAAAAAAAAAATATATATATATATATATATATATATATATATATATATATATATATATATATATATATATATATATATATATATATGCCCCTTTAACCTGTATAATTTTTTGATAGTCTACAGAACAAATCATCTTTTTATAATAACTAGCCTAATTGCCCTAACCTGCCTAGTTAACCTAATTAACTGAGTCAAGCCTTTAAATGTCACTTTAAGCTGTATAGAGGTGTCTTGAAAAATATCTAGTAAAATATTAACTACTGTCATCGTGGTAAATACAAAATAAATCAGTAATTAGAAATGAGTTAATAAAACCATTATGTTTAGAAATGTGTTGATAAAAATCTTCTCTTTGTTAAACAGAAATTGGGCAAAAATAAAAAGGGGGTTAACAATTCAGGGGGACTAATAATTCTGACTTCAACTGTAGCCTATATTTATACATAGCATTTATACACCTACTTCTTTTGTCTTAAAGATTCAGACATCTTAAGATTCCATCCTGTCGATCAAATGGGGCCCATTCTGAGTTTAGTGGAGCCAGTGGTTGTCATCAATAAATTGGGGACATCTTTCTTTGAGATGGCCCTCACACAGACCGTGTACAACCGTTCGATGAAGGCAGCAGCAGGAGATAGCAATCAAGCACAGGCAATGTCCTCACGCTTTCTTCTAATTCAGAGCGTGTTGTCCTCTGTGATGGCAATGTTGTCCATCATTCCACTGAGTCGTATGGCAGACCATCATGGACCTAAAGTCTTCTTGGTGTCATCTCAAATGGGTTCTGTTTTGGGCATGTTTACGCTTGTCATCTTCATGTACTGTGAGGTTCCCCTAGAGTTTCTTTACTTGGGATCTTTGTTGCATGGATTGAGCGGAGGTGGGCCAATGTTCTGGGCCGGGGTGGCTGCTTTGGCATCTCTGAGCTCAGAGCAGAGAAAACGCACTCTTAAACTCAACATCGTGGACTTCTGTTTTGGGATCGCAGGGGTTGTGGGAGGTCTCCTTTCTGGATATCTGTACCAAGTAGGACCATCAGTTCTCCTCCTGACAGCCATTTTGATCACCACTGTTGCACTATTGTACTCTGTGTTCGCCCTCTCTGATTCAAGATTGTCTTATTCTGAGGGTGAGCCGCTTCTGCCAGAATCTGAAAGTGGGAAGACAATGGATCGAGTTTCTATAGGGTTGCTAATGACATCCATGATGTTGTTCATGCTAGGAATGGTCGGAGCAGAAAATGTGCTCCAGCTGTTTGTGCTGAAGCCTCCTCTGAGCTGGGACTCAGTGTGGGCAGGATATGGCAGGGCGGCCACCAGCGCCATGTACCTCAGTAGTTTTTTAGCAGTCCTAAGTTTGTTCAATGTGATGGGGGACACAGCCCTTACACTTCTTGGTATTGTGTCCAACTGCACTGGGATGGCAATCATGGCATTCACAATGGAAAGCTGGATCTATTTCCTGGGTGAGTTGATCTTAAGATAATTAAAAGTCTTTTTTATGTGTTCTGGGTGATATATATTGGAACATCACAGCTTGCAATACATGGATAAGTGTCCTAGAACAGGGGGTTTCAACAGAGGTGTTTGAAACCTTGGTAAACTCCTGAAGAACTTAACTTAAGTTTGAATAAATAAGCAAAAAAAAAAGCTAAATATAAGGTTTGTGTACTATTTAAGTTATCATTGTCTTACAAATTTGGATATAGACTATTTCAATGTGGCAATATCATTGACCCATGAACATTTTCTACTTGCTGTCAAACTATTTTGTAACTGTAAGAAGATGTAATTGAATCATATCTTAACATTAAAACAGCTGTCATAACATTATCTAGCAATATGTGGACCTTTTTGGATTTTTGGAAGCTATGTAAATTAAAAATGTAATACAGGAAAGACGTTAGGACCATTTTATTGTTTACATCCCTCAAAATGGTCTATATGACACATGAGGTCTTTTCAATTAACTTTTAATGCATAGTGTAATAGATAGTATAAAAATGTGTACCATCCATCAAAAAATTGTTAAATGGGAAAATATAACAATTAAAATACAGCACAATGGAAGATAAAATATACTTCAAATTCTACATCTTGAATAAAATATGTATAACTTTCTTCAGAAGAAAAAATCTACCTCTACACATACAATGCTGATGCATATAAGACATCTGAAGATGAGGCTTTAAATATCTGACTTCATTTCACCATTACTGCTGGATTCACTTTGCATTATATAAAGTAAAAACAATCTTTTGAAGAGTATCCTTTCAAAGAGCCAGATTTGATGCAGTGGCCAGAAATATATTTAAGACAGAATACAAAAATGTTTGTTGAATTAATGACGGTAGAGATAACAAAGAATTAAAACATACTAACATAAACATCTATTTATCCTGTGTGCACAGATCCATTTTTTAATGGTTATTTTGGGGCTTTTAAGTTTGTTTGTTTTTTTATCTGTGCAAATATTAATATGTATTCATCTGCGATTGATTTTTATGACATCTTTAATTGTTACTCAAAATAAAATTATATTGCATTACTCCTGGTAATTCTGTTAATCAAATATTAACTGTTGGTTGCACCTGTAAACAGACAGCTAACAGCTCTATATATTTATATATAAAACAATATTTTATTGTATATTTAAAAAAATATTAAGTAATAACAAGTTCTTTTTAGGTTTAAATAAAATTGTAAGAAGTAGTTTTCTTCTGAAATGTTCACAGGTTTTTATACAAGTAGTACACTTAAAACAACAGTTCACCCATAAATGAAAATTGATTCACTATTTACTCATCTTTTTTTGTATTTAGCAAAAGAAAGAAACTCATAAAGGTTTGAAACAAGTAAAGGGTTCATATGGCTCATATGAATCTTTAACTCAAGTAAAGTAAACCTACTCAAGTGTTTTGAAAAAAACAAAACATTTGGATTAATACAATTCTGAAAGTTATTTGACTTTAAGCGGCAAGGAACTCAAATTGCAACAGGTAACAGTAATGGAAGGGAAGAAATCTGAGAGATAAAAAAAAAAAAACTTAAAGAAACAACGGCATCAATGTCAAAAAAGGACCTTTATTTTTAAAAGTGTCTGAAGAACCAAAAATTGTGTGCAAAGATAAAGACACATTGATATACATCCATCAAGACAACATGCTTTAAGTTTTTTTTTTTTTTTTTTGAAAACTTTTATTTAGAAAAGAAGAACTGCACAATATAAAACAGAAAGTAATCTGCGAGAGACTGGAATACAAGTACTGTACATACAATTACAAAGTGATAGGAAAATAAGTAACAAATTAGAAAAAGAAATAAAAAAGAAAAGAGAAGAAGATAAAGGAAGGGGAAGTATAAAATGAATTTAAAAACACAGAAAGCATTCAATATTAATTTACAGGAAGCATGTTTCTAAATTAACTTGCATAATTTTTTGTGGTTAGATAAACGTAGCTTTAAGTAAGGAATCAATTTCAATTAAAAAATGAGCAAATGAGGGAGAGGATTTAAGAATTTGTTGTTTGTGGATGAAGAATTGTGCATATATTATGAAAAAGTGTATATATATATATATATATATATATATATATATATATATATATATATATATATATTCTTCATTTTTATTTTTGGTATTAGAATAATAATATCTTTCAAGTTGAAGAGTTTTTTTCATTGATTCAGATTTATTTAAAAAAATTACAATAATGTAAATCTAGCCAAAACGTTTGTGAGATTTTACACGTAGAAAACGTGTCGACGTTTCCTTACTTTCCTGACAGAATAAAGTATTTGCAGTATCAGTAAATTTTGAGATAAATGCATTGACTTGGTATAATTTGTGTAGAATTTTCAAATGAATTTTCTTTGCTTTGTTTGGAATTACATATTTATATAGAAGAAGCCATGTCCTTTTCCAATCAATATTTTGTATTAAAAGTGCAGGTGATCTGCCTGTTAATATAAATCTCTGAAACATAGTCCCTCCCCTGCCATCCACAGCTATGCCTCCTTAACACGACAAAAGATGACAACACAACTCTGTCTTGTGTTGAGCTAAAGCTAAATCTTGGCCGATGGCGATCAGGAATTACACTCATTACTTAGTCATACTTACATGCTATTTCTGACCGAATATTCAGAGTAGCGGTAAACTATATAGGGAGCGTATCACAGGTCGTCATTGTTAAAAAATCTGTTAAAGCCAATGTGAATATTACACATACTTCAGCTCAGTAAAGCAGGCTAGGTGGAACAGCGTTATTTACTTGTTTTGTTGTTAAACTAAATAAAAATCTACATTATCGATGCTGTAAAAAGTCCCTTATGAAACTGAAAATAGTCACATCAATCCATCGCCGGAAGCGATAGATTTCAGTGGCTGAACAACACTTCTGTGCATATAAACCATTCAAAAGAACTCAATCTACATCAGCTTTGAGGGACTAAAATACTTTAAAATCATAACATTACCTGTCTAAGAGAAATACTTCAGCCATGTCGTCCTTCCTTCAGCGTGCAAAAGTAAATTCGATATTGATTCAGGATTTTAAGTTTTAAGAAATTTTAAGTTTTGATTTGCCATTTTTTTACCGCTCGCTCTCACGCTCACTCTCTCATGTACAAACAGTTGCGCAGTAGCTCAAATCTGCATTTGCTGACAGACAGTTTGAGCTTCTTATCAGAATTATGGGAGTTGTCAGGCCGACACTATTTTAATTGGATGAACATTTTTTAGCTTTATGCATTACCCAGAATATAAAAAAATACATTTAGATCATTTACTATCTTAATGCACCATTAACTCTGACCAACATGATTTTCCTCTTAGAGCAGTTAGATTTTTTTGTTGCAGAACTCGAAGAATAAGTTTGTTGTTGCATTTCTTATCATATATTCTAAAAACGTATTATAATAAGAAGGGTTTTATGGTTCTTTTATTTATATATTAAATATATTGTTTTGTTAAATGAATAATTTTTTTGTGATAGCATTTACAACAATGTTAAATTTCTTATATGGGATAGGAATCTGGTGAATTTTTATGAATTGTTTGTAAGTTAACAAGTTTTCCGAGTCATCAAATAAGGAAAATAAATGTAATATATCTCTGTCGTACTAATTTGCAAAAATAAATAAATAAATAAATAAATAAATAAATAAATAAATAAATAAAGATTTATTTGTAATTGTGAGACAGCCAGAGGGATCATGATGTTTGCCTGTGTACCCATGCCAACACTGCGAGCTATGCTCTCCAAGAACCTGCATCCGCAACAATATGGTAAACTGCAAAGAAAACATACACACACACACACATACTAGTGAGGTCTTATTGTTATAATGTTAAATAACTGATACAATAAATACTTTGTCTCTTGGCAGGCCGAGTCTTTGGGCTGCTCCAGTTGCTTCTGGCTGTGACTGATCTTTTATCAAACGTCTGTTTCACTTCCATTTACCCGCTAACTCTCAGGTGGTTCAGTGGCTTCTGCTTTATCCTCTCCTGTGCTATTAGTTATATCAGCGCTGTCCCGATCATGTAAGTAAATCTGATGAATCTGATGATTCTTCTCAGATAATGTATAACAACTTATTTTGTTTTTCAGTTATCTAAGTGGCCGAACCTTGAGAGATGGAGCCATCTGAGAGGAGTGCCATTTACATGAAAATAGTTTAGATTCAATACTAAGGAGTCCCAAGAAGACATGGTGATGGATAAATAAATAAATAAATAAATAAATAAATAAATAAATAAATAAATAAATAAATAAATAAATAAATAAAACTTGCCTAAAAACTTTGTATTCACTAAGAAAATCTTTGTGTGAAATAAAATGTTAGTGTTCCCAAGAATCAATGTTTTGTTAGATAACAAAAAACAAAACAATAACATGTAAAATTGTAACAAATGGGTTTCTGGTGGAACAGAAAAGTTTTATAAGCAAAAACAAATGTCTGTCTTGTCAAAAATATATTTTTATTATTAAAGTGGAAAAACCCTAAGCCAAATTGTAAAAATATACACTGATACTGACACGTCACATAAATACAGGAGAAGAATAGAACATTCCGTAAACATACCTTCTCTGCTGTCTGATCATGAATCCATTATTCTATAATTATTCTAATTATATTTTTAGCTCAGTTGGAGGTTTACATTTTTGTTGCACTGTATTTTGACATCTCTAAAATACCTTTAAATTAATCTTATTTTCATAAACAGCCTTTAATATGATGGTCCCTTACATATAAATATATTTTTTCTCCACATACCTATTTTATTTGGAACAATAAAAATATTAGATCTCTTAAAAATCTTTTTTTTTTTTTTTAGAACTGGTTTAATAAACATATACTTTTAGTTAGTAAGCTTTTAGATGCCCCTTTCTCATATGAAAAATGTATGCTTCAGTTCCCCTTCGGGGGGAACTCCAGCACTATAAGTGGATTTGATGTTCTAAATCCACGTATGGGAGATTCGGTTCAGAAGCTACTCGTCTGAAAGAGTATTGAACGGGCCAATTAAGAATGAATTGGCAGCGCAAGCCTGCGCAGGTGTGCGGCATGTGCAATCAACTGAGTATATAAGCACACCTGGCGCCAGCAGACGCTATCCTTTTGGCTTCAGAGACTTTTCTGATCGAGCTTCATGAGGGTTCCTCCTGCTGTCTACAGCCACTTCGAGCGAACGATAGTCTCCCTGTCCAGAGCGAGTCCACGCAGCGGCAGATGGTCGAGCTGGGTTTCTCCCTTGCCTGGCGTCCCTTTGGGTCCGGTCCTCCAGAGCGGTGCGTATTGTTGCAAAGCATCCTAAAAGAGCAACACAGTCGTGCAGCACGTCCTTTTCAGGACGACGCTCCGACTGTGCGTTTCTGGTTGCGGGGGTTTCTTGGCTCCGGATGATGGGCACGATCACTGCATTACATGTTTGGGGGTCCAGCATGTTAATGTGGTGCTCGGGGGCGGTTCATGTTGTCACTGCGATGCCATGACCGTCGCGCAGTTGAGCTCGCGGCTAACTTTCGTGAGAGAGCGAGCCACCCCTGTCGCCTCCTGTTCTGCAGCGGGCGCTCGGGCAGATCTGAGGGCTTCAGCGAGAGATAATCCGCCGCCTAAGGGCTCGCGGACCTCTCGCTCCTCCAAGCGCTCCATCCAAGCTTCGGGCGCTGGGAGTGATCCGTCTAAATCAGATGGTACCTCTCACGCTCGCTGACACCGGAGATCAGATGTCCTCTGCGGCATCGGAGGGTGGGCTTTCATTGTCCGACGATGATCCGGACCCGCTCGCCCCCGCTCGACGTGTTAGCCATGCTTTCCCGGGCTGCTTCGGCCGTGGGTTGGAGATGGTTTATCCCCCAGCTCCGCGGCCGGACCGACTAGAGGGGCGTTCCCTTCTTCCCGGCGACGCACAGTAGGCTCACACGGTCTTAAAGAGCACCTTTTTTCTGCTCGTGCTGCGTGTTCCTCCACTCTCACCATTCTTGGTGGTGGAGCGGCCAGGGGGTATGTGGCGATTCCTCAGGTTGAGTGTGCGATGGCGGTTAATCCGCGCAGCGCCTCTTCTTGGCGGGGTCTGCCTCGTCTCCCATCCAAAGCCTGTGAGTTTTCGGCTCCCTCGGAGCTAGAGCTTACAAAGCTACGGACCAGGCTGCATCCGCCTTGCATGCGATAGCCACCGACCAGTGCTACCAAGCGCAGGCGCTGGCCGAGCTGCACGAGGGTGGGTCCAACCCAGGCTTATGAGCTTCGCACCGCAGCCGACTAAAGCTCTTCGGACTACTAAGTCCGCTGCGTGTGCTTTGGGGAGGACGATGTCCACACTAGTGATCCAGGAGCCCCACCTCTAACAAAACTTGGTTGATATGCGCGAAGTTGACAAAGTCCGCTTTCTTGGCTCGCCCATATCCCAAGCTGGTCGGCGACACAGTCTGCGAATTCACCCAGGAATTCGAGGCAGTGAGAGAGCAGTCCGATGGGTGATGTCTAATTGGCGGCCCTGTAAGCCCGCTCCACCCGCCGTGCCATACATACCTGCTCCTCGCCGAAGGCGCCCGCCTACGAGAGCTGCACCGCCCCCGCACTCGCCTCTGGCAAAGCGAGCGCGTCGAGCACCTCGGAAGCAGGCAACTCCCCCTGCCCAGAACGCCGCTAAGTCCGGCAACGGACCGCGAAGCGTCCCTGGGACAGGTCATCTGGAGAGGAGGGAACTTGCTCTTTCCCCGCTGGAGGGCGGGGCGCCATTTCCAACGGCACCTTTTACTGCCATGAAATGAAAGGGCACTTTTCCACTTCCCCGGAGGTGACAGCCCGAAATCTGCCAGTTTGAGCTCAGCTCTCTAGCTCGTAGGTTCGGTGCACTCCGCCAGTGGCTCACGGGCACTGCAGGCCCTGCCAGCCTGGGACGCGCCGCCTCTCAGCTCGCAAGGTCTGCATGCTCCGCCAGCGGCTCACGGGCGCTGGGGGGACGGTCTCCTCCAGCTCTTCTGTGGGACCCTCGCGCTCCCCGGATTAGCACACCCGCTCCGCGCTGCCCCTCCGCGGGTACGTCAACGATTGCTGCGATGACGTCATTAGCGAGGGCTCTGCCTGCCTGGATAGCGCAGGCCAGCCCCTCGCGGTGGCTCATACGCGTGATCAGACTCGGCTACGAACTGCAGTTTCGAATGGCCTCCCAAGTTCACGGGCGTGTATTCACCAGGGTTAATCCCCTGTCCGCCCCTGTCTTGCGAGAGGAGATTGCTGCCCTCCTGGCGAAGGGTGCAATCGAGCCAGTACCTCCAGCCGAGATGGAGAGCGGGTTTTACAGCCCGTACTTCATTGTACCCAAAAAGAGCGGTGGGTCACGGTCAATCCTAGATCTGCGCGTTATGAATCGCTGCCTTTACAAGCTGTTGTTTAGAATGCTTACGCAGAAGCGCATCTTCTGATGCGTCCGCCCTCAGGATTGGTTTGCAGCCATGTCTCCATTTTTCCACGCCACCTTCAGTTCTGCGGTTTGCGTTCGAAGGTCGAGCATGGCAGTACAAGGTCCTCCCCTTCGGGCTCTCTCTGTCTCCGCGGGTCTTCACCAAACTCGCGGAGGGTGCCCTAGCGCCCCTTCGGCTCGCGGGCATCCGCGTACTCAATTGTTTCGACGATTGGCTGATTTTAGCCCACTCTCAGGAGTAATTGACTGCGCACAGAGATGAGGGGCTCCGGCATCTTTGCCGATTGGGGTTGCAGGTCAACTGGGAAAAGAGCAAACTCGCCCCGGTGCAGAGGATCTCTTTTCTCAGAATGGAGCTGGACTCGGTCACCATGGTAGCGCGCCTCTCCGGAGAGCGCGCTCGCCTTCTGCTGAACTGTCTGAGGGAGCTCGACAGCAAGTTAGTGGTCCCACTGAAATATTTTCAGAGGCTCCTGGGGCATATGGCTTCCGCTGCGGCCGTCACGCCGCTCGGATTGCTCCATATGAGACCACTTCAGCACTGGCTTCAAGATCGAGTTCCGAGACGCGCATGGCATGCGGGCACACACCGAGTCTCTGTTACTGCGCTGTGTCGCCGCACCCTCAGCCCCTGGAACGACCCCTCGTTCCTGCAGGCCGGTGTGCCTCTGGGACAGGCGTCCAGTCATGTTGTTGTTTTGACAGATGCTTCCAGCACAGGATGGGGAGCCGTGTGTCGCGGACATGCAGCTGCGGGCCTGTGGGTAGGTGCCCAGCTGCATTGACATATCAATCGCCTAGAGCTGTTGGCAGTGTTTCTTGCTCTCCGCCGTTTTTCTCCGGTGCTGGAGCAGCAACACGTGCTGGTCAGGACGGACAGTACGGCGGCGGCGTATATCAACTTCATGGGGGGTATGCGCTCTCGCCGCATGTCTCAGCTCACCCACCGTCTGCTCCTCTGGAGTCACCCGCGGTTGAAGTTGCTGCGCGCCATTTACATCCCAGGTATGCTCAACCGTGCAGCCGATGTGCTCTCACGGCAGCAGATTCACTCTGGAGAATGGAGACTCCACCGCGAGTCTGTCCAGCTGATATGGGCGCGATTCGGGGAGGCCCAGATCGATCTGTTGCTTCCCCCGAGAACGCTCATTGCCAGTTGTTTTACTCCCTGACCGAGGGCTCTCTCGGCACGGATGCACTGGCCCACAGCTGGCCTCGGGGCATACGCAAGTATGCGTTTCCCCCAGTGAGCCTGATCGCGCAGTTAATGTGCAAGGTCAGGGAGGACGAGGAACAGGTTCTGTTAGTTGCGCCCCTCTGGCCCAACCGGACCTGGATATCTGAGCTCTCCCTCCTCGCGACGGCCCTCCCTTGGCAGATCCCTTTGAGAGAGGACCTACTTTCTCAGGGACAAGGCACCGTCTGGCACCCTCGTCCCGATCTCTGGAACCTCCACGTGTGGTCCATAGACGCGAGGAAGACTTAGGTAACCTGCCGCCCGCGGTGGTTGATACCATCATTCAGGCTAGAGCCCCCTCTACGAGGCGCGCCTACGCCCTGAAGTGGAATCTATTCACTGAGTGGTGTGTCTCTCGCAGAGAAGACCCCCGATCTTGCCAGATCAGTGTTGTGCTCTCTTTCCTTCAAGAGAAGCTGGACAGTAGGCTGTCTCCCTCCACTCTCAAGGTTTACGTTGCTGCCATCTCCGCTCACCATGACG